CGCCCTCGATATTGTGGGCCATTCCGCATCAGCCACATGATTACACCCGTCACCGCCCATCTCCTCCTCCCTGCTGACTGGTACGTCAGCCCGTCCTTCCACGTCAGCCTGCTCCGCCCCTACGTACCATCCACCAGCCAACTGCCCCGCAACCGCCCAGCCAGCATGACACGACCGCCGACCGAGCCAATCATCACACCCGAAGAGATTTTGAGCCACCGAGTTCGTGACCCATGAGGAGCTCGAAGGATCGAATTCCTGATCCGCTAGAGAGACCGTACACCCACCGAAGACAACTGGGTTCCCCTGGAAAGAATCGACAACCACCCCGTCCTCACCGAGTATCCGCGCAGCCGAAATTTTCGGGATGTACACGCACTTTCATAAAAGAGGGCCTCCTTAAGGGGGGGGGGGAAGTGTAAGGAAAATTCCTTTTCCTTACTTCGCGTCCCTGCTCAGCGCGTACACCACTGTAGCACCACAGTCAACACCAAGACTAGCGGCGTGACAACAGTGGCCAGGAGACGCGTGACAGTAGGACTAGCAGCACGAAGGGAGTCAGACTCCGGGTCAGAAGGGGCAGGAAGAGAGGACGCAGGAGGAGACGGCAGAGGGACACGCTGTGGAGCAGTGGAAGGGCGCAGAGCCATCCGGTGCATGCCAGGGACAGGAGGAGGACGCTGACGCGAACCACGACGACTAGTGCTAGCAGCACGAACAGGCGACGCAGGATGAGACGCAGGCTTACGACGCTCAGGAGGACCTCCGGTCGGACCAGTGTAAGGAGAAGGAGCAGGCAGTGGGGAGGCGGGCTGTAACTGTGACTGCGACTGGATAGGCGGTGGACACCCTAAGGAAGGAGCAGGACCAGTAGAAGGCGGAAGACCAAGAACCTGCTGAAGGAGCGGAACGTAGTACGGCCGCGGCCGCGCAGCGCCTCCAGAACCAGCAGGGACAGAACCAGCACCCCCAGTGGCAGCTCCAACTCCAGCAGTACCACCAGCTCCATCAGCACCTCCAGCAGCACCAGAAGCGCCAACTCCAGCACCCACAGGAGCACCGGCTCCAGCAGCACCTCCAGCTCCAGCACCTCCAGCAGCTCCAGCTCCAGCAGGACCATCAGAAGCTCCAGCAGCGCCAGCAGCTCCAGCTCCAGTGCCTCTAGCAGCACCTGCGGGACCCGTGGCCCCAGAACCACCAGCAACTGACTCGTCAAATGTGACGCCCTGAGAGGACAGAACACGGCGCGAGGTGGGGTGGTAAAACTGCCAACCAGGCGCGTCAGGGGGGAAGCCAAGGAAGACGCAGGAAACATCACGGGAGGACAGCTTGTCCGCTGACAAGTCGCGGACGAAAGCTCGAGATCCCCAGACACGGAACGCAGATGCATCGCCCACCTTCCCCGTCCACCACAAAGTAGGTGTGGTCTCCGGCATGGAGACCCGGGGCTGGAGGTTCAGCTGATGCGCCGCGTACTGAACCGCGAACGGCCACAGAAAATGGGGAGCAGCCGCATGGATCATGGACGTACGAGCGGCATCTATGACCATGCCAATGCGGCGCTCAGCAATCCCATTTTGCTGCGGAGAGGCCGGAAGCGGTGAACGTCTAGCGGATGCCCTCCGCACGACAGAAGGCTCGCAGAAGGTCGGAGGAAAACTTTCCACCTCTGTCGGAGTGCAGACGCAGAACAGGAAGGTCCGAGCCGAAACTCTCGCTGAGCTGACGACGGGCAGCGAGGATCCAGTCGATCAGCACCTCAGTGACCTCACCCTTGCTGCACAAGGGGAAGACTGTGGTGTAACGCGAGTAGTCGTCAACGACCAGCAGAAAGTAGCGCTCGTGACCCTGGTCACGGACGCGGGCTGGGCCCCACACGTCCATGTGAAGCGTCTGCAGGGGAGCCTCCGTCGGAGGGAACTCGGAGGAGTGAGGAGCGGCGCGCTGCCGCCCCTCGATGCAAGGAACGCAGGTAGGGGCAGGCCCCGGGGGAAGGGGAGGGAGAGACCGGGGAAGACCAGTGACAAGGACACGGGAGGCCGTGCCTCGGAGACGAGGCAGGGAGGGGTGACCAAGGCGGTGGTGCCAAAGGAGAGTCCGGTGAGACAGGAGGCGACTACACGTTCGGCACGCGACTACAGTTCAGTTCTTCGTACCATGTTCGGCACGCGACTACAGTTCAGTTCTTCGTACCACCCCAAAACCGACGGACAGACAGAAAGAACAAATCAGACCATGGGAGCAACTCATCCGAGCCACATGCGACGACCCAACCACCTAGGAACAACAGCTGCCACTCATCGAGTTCGCGTACAACAACTCGCCTTCCGCCACGACCCAACAGTCACCATTTTACATGAATTACGGACAAGACCCAACAGTACCCATGACCCCGAATCCCAACAACCCAGTGCCACGAGCACAACAGTTCGACGAAATATTACAAGCAGCACGGACCCGAGCGGTGGACGCAATTAAAAAATCGAACATCATCGCTAAACGCAACGCCGACCGCCACCGCCGACCTGTCACTTACCGCCCGACGACCTAGTCTTACTCGACACCCATAACCTCCGCCTACCCATTACTCCAAAACTCCGCCCTCGATATTGTGGGCCATTCCGCATCAGCCACATGATTACATCCGTCACCGCCCATCTCCTCCTCCCTGCTGACTGGTACGTCAGCCCGTCCTTCCACGTCAGCCTGCTCCGCCCCTACGTACCATCCACCAGCCAACTGCCCCGCAACCGCCCAGCCAGCATGACACGACCGCCGACCGAGCCAATCATCACACCCGAAGAGATTTTGAGCCACCGAGTTTGTGACCCACGAGGAGCTCAAAGGATCGAATTCCTGATCCGCTAGAGAGACCGTACACCCACCGAAGACAACTGGGTTCCCCTGGACAAAATCGACAACCACCCCGTCCTCACCGAGTATCTGCGCAGCCGAAATTTTCGGGATGTACACGCACTTTCATAAAAGAGGGCCTCCTTAAGGGGGGGGGGGTAGTGTAAGGAAAATTCCTTTTCCTTACTTCGCGTCCCTGCTCAGCGCGTACACCACTGTAGTACCACAGTCAGCACCGTTACCACCCGCAACCCTCGCATCGACAATCCTCCTGCCACCTTCGCACGTCGCACCCCGACCTTACGGCTCGGCCGGTAACCCGCGCTCCGGGCCTCCGCCTCGACATTTTCCCAACCTCAGTTCCAGGCCCGTCGCGCGTCAACCACAGTTCATTACCGTTACCACTGTAGATTCGCTATATATTCTTCGCTCATGCCTTCGCTCATTGTACTCTTGCTTCGATAGTGCAATTCTCGTTCGATCACTTAATTGCACTCGTAACAGTGGTTCACTTCGGAACTCGTCTGATGGCTGAAAAACGAAAAACACATACCGTAACTTATAACTTTCCAAAACAATGCAAAAAAACTTGAGTAATCAAGTTGGACCCAACTAGAACGAGGGGGTCACCATTTTAGCTACGGGCTTTAATAATGGTCGGAGATACACCGACAATGGAAGTTGACGATACGCTGAAATTAACATGGTAATGAACTTGAAGGTAACACGGCCTTGGGAATGCATGGCTGAGCCTGATGCTTGTTGCCTGATAACTGGAGAGACCGAGGTCAGCATAAATTACCAGACTTCCATTTCGAATGTTAAAGACGATACTGTTAAGAAGATCAGAACTCGGCGTGCATTGTAGCGAGGACGTTGACTTGTTCAAGCTCGTCAGAATCCATGGCCGCCAGATGGCGGAAAAGGCGGAGAGCATTGCAGGCAAGGCTTTCGTGGTGTGTGATGGACCCGATAGAGCTGTTACAATCCTCGCCGTGGTGTGATCCTTCAGAATCCGGTGTGTTTTATGGAGTGCTTGTAATGATGTATTGAGCCCATATGTAAGGCGTTTTTTCAGTTTTACACATCTGATTCCACCGCGTACAACACCGTTCATGGGCTAAACTTTTCTTTGCCAACATTCCATTCCTCTTCACTTCTCCACGAACCAAGCCACTCCAACGCGTTCCTCCTCACAACACTCCCATTTGTGCGGGGTGAACTTGGGTCCGAGGGGTGGGAACACCCCCAGACCATCCCATCCGAACCGAGCCAGGGTCCGGACGTCAGTATGGTTACGGGTTTCGCAAATGCTCGTGAGAGGACTGGCAGAATTTTGGCGATGTCGCCATCATCCGGACCTTAGATAGTGACATGACAATGAATGGGCCCTTACTGTGAGGTGTCTGACTTTTCCTCCAATAAATCCTTGTGACGCGATTCTTCATCCCAGTCGTTTTTGCTTTCGCACACAGCCAGGAAACGCCCAATCGAAGCCCACGATGGCGCCTAAAGCAACGCGTTCCCTGCAGCAGCTCCTGTCGCAGCGGTCGCACATGGCCAAGGCTTTGCCGCGCCCGTCGCGGGCTGCGTCCCGCCACAGAGGTCCCTCCAGCCTCGCACAGGAGCTCCGTGGAGCGGATGATGCGCCGCACGCTAGTAGGCTCGCTGCGATGAGCATTTAAGCATCCGTGCCCGATCGTTCTCGTCACCTCTTCTGCTTTACACCAGTTAGCACCAATCACTCCTCTAGCACCTCTTTCTCTCGGGTTGCTCCGCTGCACACTCCTGCTCTACTCCGATCGTTCTCGTCACCTCTTTCTCTCGGGTTGCTCCGCTGCACACTCCTGCTCCACTCCTGCTCTCGGATTGCTCGTGGCGATCAAGGTCGAAGAGCGAATGGCGTCCGCCGGAATCAGCAGCATGGGGAATGGCAAGGCCGTGCGTGCGCTGCTCGCCATCGTCGCCGTCATCGCCGGTACGCTCCGTCATTCGCTCCGCTCTCTCGCCCCGCGCTCTCATGCGCCATCGTGCTCACGCCGTCATGCGTTCAATGCACCACTCGACAGCGCGCACACGCGATGGATGCCCAACGAACTCGCTCCTTCGTCCGTGCCCCTCCCATGCCACATGCCGCTCCCTTGCAGCGTGTCTCCCCCAGCCGTCGCAAGCAGCAGCAGCAGCGAGCGTGTCGGTCCCAGTGCCGATAGGCACGCCGATGACAATCAACGGGCGCACATTCAAATTCTCGCCGCGCCGCTGTGTCAACCTTCCCGCCATGTCGCCGTCTCAGAAGGCGCGGGTGGTGGTGCCGTGGCAGCAGGCGAGCATGTCTGGCAAGGCTATGTGCCGCGCGATCTGGTTCTTCCAGGATCCCGCGTGCAAAGGACAGACGTTGGACGTTTTCGTGAATGGCCAACAGAGGTGCGCCTTCCATTCTTGCTCGCCTTGCTTCCATGCTCCTATGCTCTTGATGCCGCTCGTTTGCTCCCCCACCTGATCAACGATCGTTGCACTCGTGGCGCCCTCCCTCCCCCTGTGTGCAGTGAGAAGCGCATCTCCGGTGCAGCAAGGTCCGCCCTCTGCCTCGTAGGTGCGTGCGTCCCCTCTTGCCCTCTCTCGCGCCCGCCTCTCGCGAGAAGCCGCCCTCTCTCTCTCTCTCGCTGGCCTCGCGCTCTCACTGCACAGTCCAGTTCGCTGCGCTGCAGAGCGCACGACGCGAGTGGGTGGCAGGCTGCCGCGCCTCATCTCTGCATTCGCCTTCCCCCTTTCCCCCCTTCCCCGTTCCCCCTTTCCCCCGGTCCGCACGGCGCTGTGCGGCAGACAACATGTGTCGGTATGCGCGCTGCCCTGCCGGCTCTGACACATGCACCCCACCCACGGACGACCGCACGGCAGTGACGTGCGCGTGCAAGAAAGGCTACAGCGCGGTCAACAACAAATGCCAGCCTCCCAGTGAGCTTCGTATGGTTTCGCTCCGCTCAGCATGGTCTCGTTGCCGCAACTCTCTCCTCCTCCGCCCTCCCTCGCCTGCTCTGCTCTCTCTGAATGCTTCCTTGTCCGGATGGACCCATGTGCTCACCTGGCCTCCCTCTCTCTCTCCTTGCCTCTGCTGCAGAACCCTCGTGCCTCACTGCAGGCTGCCCTGCCAACTCCGAGTGTGCCAAACGCACCAGTGGCACTGGAATGGAGTGCAAGTGTAAGGCGGGCTACAATGCAGTCGGTGCCACCTGTGTGCCAGCAGCAAAACCTGGCACCACCACAACCCCGTCCGGCACCACCACAACCCCGTCCGGCACCACCACAACCCCGTCCGGCACCACCACAACCCCGTCCGGCACCACCACAACCCCGTCCGGCACCTCCACAACCCCGTCCGGCACCACCTCAACCCCGTCCGGCACCACCACAGCTTCGTCCACCACAACACCTTCAAGCGACGCTTCAGAATCTTCCAGCAACATTGCAGAATCTTCAAGCGACATTTCAGATTCTTCCAGCAACGTTTCAGGACCTTCCAACTACGTGTCAGAAATTCCTCCTAGCTACGTTTCAGACTCTTCCAGCAACGCGTCAGATTCTCCTATCTACACGTCAGAATCTCCCAACTAAACTCCAGAACCTTCCAGCGGTGGCAACTCCGTACCATCCTATTCCTCTACTTGCGCCAAGCCAAATCAGTCGCCACATCTGAGAAGAGTTGAGGGACGTATTGCGTAGGGACAGGGATTGGTTGCTGTTGCTGTGCTTCTCAGACAGGTTGGAGAGTTAGTTGGTGAACTGTTCTCGGGAAGGTCGTTGAGCAGGTGCCAGGCAGGATAGCTGGCAAGTTCTCAAGAAGAATAGAAGCAACCAATCTGGTATCATAGCAGCACTGCGTGTTATCAGACCCTCCCTGTCCGGGCTGGTTAGATTTCTCCTGTTCGCACCCCCACTTCTCCCCTTGTTTTCTCTTTCTAGGTTTGTTGTAATCTTTGTTTTACCCATCTAAATATTTGTTTCTGGATCTTGTTGCAATTCTACACATGTGGTTTCAAATCATAGAGATGACCCTGCTTTTGACCTTTGTTTCTGGTGGCTTCCATCAATTCACTCTAGTTTTCACTACTGTCAGCACCATCACTTAGGAGCGTGATCAGCCATTTTCAATTTGCTGTTCGTAGCTATACCAGATTATATCATTACACAACATTCTAACCTTGTTTGTATTTGAACCAATAAGCGATCTTGGCGATATTTTGGCGAAGTCACCATTAGTGGCTGCATGCAAGGGAATCACCAGCAATTGTTGTTGTCAGATTCTTGCGATAGAGACTGTCCATATCGGAGACATTCGATTGCCTCGCGTCGCGTCACTTGTGTTTGTGTGTCCCGCGCCCTCAGAACAGAACGCTTGTCTGGCATCACATCGGAATTATTGTTGTGAATGGGGTCTTTACAAGATCCGAAGTCAGCGGGAATGGGCCCTTCCGTCCTGGTGTCCACAATAATTTTGCCGAGCACGACCCTCGTTCCACTCCCCCATTTTTTAGCAAACATTGTGCTGACATTGAATGTGGATCCTAAGTGTTGCGGAGAGACCTAACATTTTCGACTTCAATAATTATGTCCAATAAATCCATTTCCATTTCTGTTTTCGCCAGCGTTGTCACCTTCGCACACACCTCAGGAAACGCTTATTCCAAGGCGCGCTGGCGACTAAAGAAACGCGTTCCCTGCAGCGACTCCTGTCGCAGCGGTCGCACATGGCCAAGGCCTTGCCGCGCCCGTCGGGAGCTGCTTCCCATCACAGAGGCCCCTCGTCGCGCAGAAGCTCCGTGGAGCGGATGATGCGCCGCACGCTAGTAGGCTCGCTGCGATGCCCATTTAAGCACCCGTGCCCGATCGGCCTCGTCACCTCTTCCGCTTTACCAATCACTAGTAGCACCAATCATTCATCTAGCACCTCTTCCCGTCGGAGTTGCTCCGCTGCACATCTGCTACTACTCGAGCTATTGGAATTACTCGTGTCGTTCAAGGGTGAAGCTTGAGCACCATCCGTCCACCGGAGAAGCGGCAGCATGGGGAATGGCAAGGCCGTGCGTGCGCTGCTCGCCATCGTCGCCGTCATCGCCGGTACGCTCCGTCATTCGCTCCGCTCTCTCTCGCCGTCGTCGTGCGTGCGTGCTCCCATGCGCATCATCGAGTCCACGCCGCAATGCGTTCAGTTCCATGCTCTCATGCGCCACGGACCACACCACAGTGCTCTCATGCGCACGCAATGCATTTCCAATGAACACGCCCATGCCTCCGTGACCCTCCCATGCCACGTGTCCCTCCCTCTCTTGCAGCGTGTCTCCCGCAGCCGTCGCTCGCAGCGGAAATCCCATCGGCCCCAGCGAGGATTGCCACGCAGATGACTATCAACGGCCGTCCTTTTAGCTTCGAGTCGCGCCGCTGTGTCAACATCCCCGCCATGCCGGGTGCAGTCAAGGCTCGCGTGGAAGTCTCTCGACAGCAGGGAAGCGATGCTGGCAACGCTGCTACGTGCCGCGCAATCCGGTTCTTCCAGGATCCCGCGTGCACAGGCCAGACGCTGGACCTTCTCCCCATCATCGGCACACAGAGGTGCGCCTTTTATCCCTGCTCGCATTGCTTCCATGCTTTGAACGCCGTTCGGTTGTTCCCCACCAGACGCTGGACCTTCTCCCCATCATGGGCGCACAGAGGTGCGCGGCACGCCTTCTATTCGTGCTCGCCTTGCTTCCATGCTCGCCTTGCTCCCATTGCTCCATGCTCGCCTTGCTCCCATGCTCGCCTTGCTCCCATGCTCGCCTTGCTCCCATGCTCGCCTTGCTCCCATGCTCGCCTTGCTCCCATGCTCGCCTTGCTCCCATGCTCGCCTTGCTCCCATGCTCGCCTTGCTCCCATGCTCGCCTTGCTCCCATGCTCGCCTTGCTCCCATGCTCGCCTTGCTCTTAACGCCGCTCGGTTGCTCCCCCACCTGACCAACGACCCGCGCACTCGTGGCGCCCTCCCTCCCCCTGTGTGCAGTGTCAAGTATGTTCCCGGTGTAGTGACGTCCGCCCTCTGCCTCACTGGTGCGTCCCCTCTTGCCTTGCCCCTCCTCCATTCCGCTCACCGCAAACTCCTCTTCCTCTCTATCGCACTCTCTCCTCTCTCTCTCTCTCTCTCTCTCTCTCTCTCTCTCTCTCTCTCTCTCTCTCTCTCTCTCTCTCTCTCTCTCTGTATATATATATATATATCTATCTCTATCTCTATCTCTATCTCTATCTCTATCTCTCACTCTCACCCTCACCCTCACTGAACGCTACCCTGACTGGATGGACCCACGAGCTCACCTGCCCTCTCTCCCTCTCTCTCGCCCTGCCTGTGCTGCAGAAACCTCACCACCTGCCACCGGCACCACCGGCACCACAGCACCTTCCGGCAACATTCTGGAATCCGCCAACTCCGTTTCAGAGTCTGCCCGGGCCATGCTGGAATCCACCCTTGGCGTTACAGATCCTGGTACCGGCACCGCCATTTCAGGGGTTTCTAATGCCTCTATCGATCCTAGTACCGGTAACAACACTGGCGAAGGACCTGCCGCCACTGACGCTGCAGTTCCTGTGGTCTTCACTCCAGGCACTTTCACCAACGATGCAGTGAATCCCACCAAATCCCCCGAACCTTCCGTGAACGCGTATGACACTTACACTACTGCTGCCACCGTGCCGGGCTACTGAGCTGAGCTGAGCCAACGGAGGTAGGAATGAGGTGTGCAAAGTGATCGCCACAGCGCAGAATAAATGAGGGATATACCACCGTATTGTGTAGTTCGCGAAGGTACAGTCCTTCCTTGGTGGCTGAGCAGAGTGCGATATATTCTGCTTCAGCTGAAGAGAGGGCGATTAATTCCTGTTTGCTTGACTGCCAGGAGATAGGACCGATAGGCTCGAAGCGGTAGATGTAGCCGGTGCGGGAGCGCCTGTTGTCGGAGTCGCCGGCGTGATCGGCGTCGACGTACCCGATTAGCTTAGGCGTTATAGTTGTGTTCTTATGGTAGGTCAGGCCGATTGTCGGGGTGCTAACGAGGTAGTGAAGAGCGCGGTCGAGCTCCGCCAGATGTTCCGCTTCGGGTTTCTTGAGGTAGGTGGCGAGCTGGCTTACATAGTACGATAGGTCCGGGCGGCAGGTGACAGCTGCGAAGAGGAGGCATCCCAGTTTCCTCTGGTAGTCGCGTATGCCGGCGGGGTTGAGTAGAGCGGAGCTTTCCTTGTGGTTTCCTGCCGTGTAGCGGTATGGCGTGGAGATGACGGTCGGTGTGAGTGCGAAGCGCTTGGCGATGGTATCGGCGTATTTCCCGGCGCTGAGGTAGATCGCATCCTCCTCTTCCCGTATGTTGAGCCCGAGATATTGCGTGACGGTAGATGAGACTGTGAGTGTAAGGTCTTGCTGCAGCTCCCCTTCGAACCAGGTAGTGACGCTGTCGGTTGAGCCGATGTAGAGCAAATCATCTACGTAAACGATTAGCAAGATGTAGTCGGTGCCCTTTGTGAGCCGGTACATGCCTTGGTCGTGAGGTAGTTGGCGGAATCCGATCCGAATGAGTCTCGCGTGCAGGTACTCCTGCCACAGCCTCGGGGCTTGTTTGATGCCATAGAGCGACTTCAGCAGCTCACAGACTTGATTAGGCTCTCCGTTGGAGCCGTGCGGTAGCTCGACGAAGATTTCTGCATCGACGGGTGTGTAGAGGAATGTGTTGGCGACGTCAATTTGCCGCAGCGTCCTTTTCTTCATGGCGGCGATCGCGACGAGAATTCGCAGCGAGGTGTGTCGGCTGACTGGAGCGAATGTCTCGGTGAAATCGCGTCCATGTTCCTGGTCGAAGCCGCGTACAACCCAGCGTGCTTTGAACTTGTCGATGGTGCCGTCAGCCCTTGTCTTCACGCGGAAGACCCACTTTCCGGTGAGAATCGTCTTGTTCCGTGCTACGCCGATAGGAACAACCTTCCAGGTGTTGCGTTCCTCCAGTGCTTTTAGCTCCTTGTCCATGGCTTCGCGCCATTTTTCCTTATGCTCCCCCCCCAGAGCCTGCTGAACTGTCGCAGGCTCCTTAGGAAGCACAGCGCCGTGGACCGCGGTGACCAGGCCAAGTATCTGGAGGCCACTCTGTGTGTAGCGGGGAAGTGATGTGTCCTCGGGATAAACTGATTCGTCTCCCGCTTCTGGTGTAGGGTTGAAGTTTGGTCCTACACGTTCTGCTTCGTTGGTGTTGACTTGTGCAGGTGTAACGTAACCGTTGTCGGCGAAGTGGTAATAGGTTTCGGCGTTCATGCTTTCGCGTGGATTTTCGTCATCCATTGGCACGTCGACGGAGCAGTAGGGGAGGGGTCCGGCTTCTTCCGAGGCTCCTTCCACGTTCTACTTGTCCCAATCAGCTTCGTCGTCTGCCGAGGCGAAGGCTCGGGTGCCAAGAAAACCATCGGAGCGATCGGGGTTTCCTTCTTGCAAGTTGGCGAGGTAATACCGGAGGGTGAGGTTTTCGTAGAAGATGACTGGTAGGTTGTAGTGGGGTACACACTGTAGAGTACAACCCCTTAGGGTTTTCCTTCTTGTATCATTCTCATCTTAGTTAAAATCATCCTTGCCTTAGTCTCGACATGGTATCTAGAGCAGGAGGTCTCTAGGACCTAAGAATAGGGCCCACCCGTAACTGTGTTACTTCACCTACTGCCTGCCTGCCTTGCCTGCTGCTCGCGCGCGCCTCGGCTGCTCGCGCGCGCGCGCGTCATTTTTTTTTTTTTTTTCGCGCGCACCTCGGCTGCTCGCGCGCGCGTCACTTTTTTCGCGCGCGCCACTACTGCAGCGCCGCGCGCCGGCCCGCGTCGCCCGCGCAGCCCGCGTCGAGCCCGCGCAGCCCGCCGCCGCGCACAGCCCGCCGTCGCGTGCAGCCCGCCGTCGCCCCGCGCGCCGCGTCTGTCGCCAGAGTTCTGATAACACGGCAGCAGTTGCAGCGGTATTATTACTGGCCCGAAATGTTGACCGGCGTTCAACGATACGTGGCATCATGTCCCACTTGCCAGATCATAAAGTCATCACGGAAGCGGCCGGCAGGACAGTTGCTGCCGATACCACCCCCAGAGCGTGCTTGGCAGCAGGTGACGATGGACTTCGTCACGGGGTTATCGGCCGGAGCGAGTGGGAACGACGCGATCCTGGTCGTCGTCGATCGACTAACGAAAATGGCACACTTCGCAGCCTACAAGAAATCAATCACAGCCGAAGAAACAGCTCGCCTATTCATCACCACCGTCGTTCGACTGCACGGGATACCAGCAGCGATCATCAGCGACGGAGACACGAAATTCACCAGCAACTTCTGGCGGAACCTGTGGCAGCAGTTCGGCACGCGAATACAGTTCAGTTCTTCGTACCACCCCAAAACCGACGGACAGACAGAAAGAACAAATCAGACCATGGGAGCAACTCATCCGAGCCACATGCGACGACCCAACCACCTAGGAACAACAGCTGCCACTCATCGAGGCTTCGATTGGGCGTTTCCTGGCTGTGTGCGAAAGCAAAAACGACTGGGATGAAGAATCGCGTCACAAGGATTTATTGGAGGAAAAGTCAGACACCTCACAGTAAGGGCCCATTCATTGTCATGTCACTATCTAAGGTCCGGATGATGGCGACATCGCCAAAATTCTGCCAGTCCTCTCACGAGCATTTGCGAAACCCGTAACCATACTGACGTCCGGACCCTGGCTCGGTTCGGATGGAATGGTCTGGGGGTGTTCCCACCCCTCGGACCCAAGTTCACCCCGCACAAATGGGAGTGTTGTGAGGAGGAACGCGTTGGAGTGGCTTGGTTCGTGGAGAAGTGAAGAGGAATGGAATGTTTGCAAAGAAAAGTTTAGCCCATGAACGGTGTTGTACGCGGTGGAATCAGAAGTGTAAAACTGAAAAAACGCCTTACATATGGGCTCAATACATCATTACAAGCACTCCATAAAACACACCGGATTCTGAAGGATCACACCACGGCGAGGATTGTAACAGCTCTATCGGGTCCATCACACACCACGAAAGCCTTGCCTGCAATTCTCTCCGCCTTTTCCGCCATCTGGCGGCCATGGATTCTGACGAGCTTGAACAAGTCAACGTCCTCGCTACAATGCACGCCGAGTTCTGATCTTCTTAACAGTATCGTCTTTAACATTCGACATGGAAGTCTGGTAATTTATGCTGACCTCGGTCTCTCCAGTTATCAGGCAACAAGCATCAGGCTCAGCCATGCATTCCCAAGGCCGTGTTACCTTCAAGTTCATTACCATGTTAATTTCAGCGTATCGTCAACTTCCATTGTCGGTGTATCTCCGACCATTATTAAAGCCCGTAGCTAAAATGGTGACCCCCTCGTTCTAGTTGGGTCCAACTTGATTACTCAAGTTTTTTTGCATTGTTTTGGAAAGTTATAAGTTACGGTATGTGTTTTTCGTTTTTCAGCCATCAGACGAGTTCCGAAGTGAACCACTGTTACGAGTGCAATTAAGTGATCGAACGAGAATTGCACTATCGAAGCAAGAGTACAATGAGCGAAGGCATGAGCGTGAGAGAATGAGAACGAGAATGAATGAACTATGAAATGAAGTGAGTACAAATATGAAACCCTAATTGGTTGTACCCCCTATGGGATACCCCACTATAGCCTACACAACAGCATAAGCTATAATGTTCTGACACACCCCCATAGGCAAAGTGGGGGAGAACAAGGGGTCACAAGACCAGTCAAGCAAAGCAAAGCAAGCTCAGGGTGGATCACAAAGTCACCACACAGTCTGAGCACAGGGTCAAGGCCACACTGCCAGTTCACATGCAAGAGTACACACATATATATAAAGCTAGACAAGCAAGAGCAGGTATATATATATGTGAGAGTACAAGCAAGGTCAAGAGGAGAGCAAGTGAGGCAAGACGGGCACAAGACCCAGCTGAGTGCAGAAGCGCTGATGATCACAAGGCGGAAGTGCCTTGGTGAAGACATCAGCAGTGTTGGCCTCAGAGGCCACGTACGCAAGCCGCAACTGTCCACGTTGCTGTAGCTCACGAGCAAGGAAGTAGCGGAGAGCAATGTGCTTTGTTCTGTGCTCCAGTCGCTGCTCTCGACACAAGGCCAGCATGGCCTTGTTGTCTACGTACAGGACTGGAGGAGAACGAGGCGGCTCTCCAAGGTCGGTCAGCAGGTAGGTGAGCCAGCGAAGCTCCTGTGCAGCCATGGCCCCGGCGTAGATCTCAGCCTCACAACTCGAGCCAAGAACAGAAGACGAGCGAGTAGCCCGCCACGAAACAGAGCCGGAACCAAGGCTGAAGGTGTAACCCTGTGACGACCGCTGCGTAGCCTGGTCGTCAGCCCAAGAAGCGTCCGCGTGCCCAGTGAGGACCACTGGACTCCGCCCTCCAAGCACTAGCCCCATGCCCGACGTACTGCACAAGTAGCGCAACACCCTCTTCGCTGCAGCCATGTGCTCTGGTCTGTGTCTCCCAGGAGCAACATAGCGTGCAAGAATGCTAAGAGGGTATGCAAGGTCAGGTCGTGTGCAGGTCATCAGGTACATGAGGCAGCCAACAAGCTCTGGGTACGGGCCACTCGACTCTACGGACTCATCCGAAGGCAGAGCTGAGAGCGAGTGGCGAGTAGACAGAGGAGTGGCCTGAGGCGAGGAGTACGTGAAGCCGA